GACACATGCATAAACTCAGATATGAACAGTTTTAAAGAACTAAGGTTGACTTTATATAGCCAACAAAGCCCCTTGGAAGAACTGGCCTGGTACCTTGCTTACAAGGTTCCCAGCAGCCTTACCAGGTGAGTAAGGAAGGTCACTTCCTGGCAGGTGCAGGAACCTCACAATGTCTTTGGGCCATCAAGAAGAGAGGAATTCACCCAAATCTACAGGTTCTGCAGGCAAAACCTGATGGCAAATCTGGCTTGGCTTTCTGGCCTCAAGAGGCCTTTAAAAGTCCAATCAGAAATTCCTTATAAAAAGTTCCAGCAAAGCACATTTAAAAGATCCCATGTAATCAACTGCTCTTCTTGCTGCACTTATGCAAACAGTCAAGCCAAGTGTTAATTATTTTCTTAATCTAGTTAGTTCTAATAAAGATGAAGGTGATTTTAGAGAAAAGTATTGTTTCAATAATGCAGCCTTATCTATACTAAATCCTAATACTAGTCATGAAGACATAGACTAGATCCAGAATTATAGTTTCCCCAAAATATCAGCTATGATTCTCCAGATGTTTTAGTTTTCTCCCATAATTTCAATTAAAATTTTACTGTTTCTAGTTCTCATATTCAGCCATACATTCTTAATCTTGTCAAGTTGCTCTGAAAAGGAAAATCCAACTCCAGATGTTGCTACTTAACCTAATAACACGATTTGTCCTATCTTGCCTAGAAGCCATAAAATTGCAAATAGTAATAAAAATGGAACCCAGAATAGAAGTGCTAATCTTCTGAGGCCCTCTCAACTGACCAGTGATGGAGACTGTGCTCCCTCTCTCAGCATGAAGCAGCCAGAGCAGTCATTGCCCTTTTCCCTAGCAGTAGCCAGGGTCTCTATCTGTAGAGGGGGGAATGAGACAGGGACCTTGACCTTAGAAGAGGGTGAGGGCCTCCGGAAAAAGCAAGGCAGGATATTTGCAGCCAGAGCAATGTAACTACATGCAAGGAAACCCCCTACCAAAACTCTGTGTTAAACATTAAGCTCTAGAGTCATTCTTCACTGAGATCAGTTAAAGCTCATAAGGCCAGGAGCAACTTGGCCTGGAATGTTTGAGTCTTCCGCAAATAAAGAAGGGTATCTCAGCATAACCCGTGACTTCACTGTAAACAGCCCTAGCAAATAAACAACACAGCCCACCTTAGGGGCAGGGCAGGTGGTACAAGTCTACACCCTAAGCCCTCTCTTCACATTATCAAAGTATATGTGGTGTTGAATGCATCCTTCCTGCTCTAATAGATTATCCCGGAAATAGTCATGAAAGATTTCTCCAAGCTCTGCCATCTGAGAGTGATGACAACTTGAAACTTTTAGATCCCACCTCTGTTGCAGTTGCAGCTGCGTTCATCCTGCCAGTTCCCGGATTTGTAGGTGGAATGCAAAAAGATATACCTAAGCTGGCCTGTGCGTATAGTAAGACAACGAATTTGACTGCTTTTGTATTATCTGAACTCAGTCAAGAGCTAGGAGAAGTGCGAGTTGCAGTGCTTCGGAATCGCGCTACTATAGACTATCTGCTGTTAAAAGAACATATGGGATGTGAACAGTTTCCAGGAATGTGTTGTTTTAATTTGTCTGATTTTTCTCAAACTATTCAAAATCAATTGGACAATATTCATCATATTATTAATAAGTTTTCACAAATGCCTGGGTTACCTAACTGGTTTTCTTGGTTTCATTGGATATGGCCAGTAATTGTAGGTCTGCTTTTGTTATGTATCAGTATTCCTGTTCTGTTAATGTGTGTACGTAATTTAATTAGTAGTTTATTAAAACCTATACATGCTCATATTACTCTACAAGAAGTTATATCAAAGAAATAATCTTCTCATATTTTCTTCCATCTGCTACTTCTATAGCTTTTCTTTTTCCTTCTTAAATACAGCCCTTTCCTAGAATTTGTGCCTCATACTTAAAATTACCGAGTATCATAATTCTTCCAAGTGATAAAGATACCTCAAGACAAGTGCTGGGCATAGAAGTCACGGGAAATATGCAAAGAAGTAAAAAGCTAACCTTTCAAAGAATTCTCTCTCACTTACTAACTTTACATCCCCCTGTATGGCCCCGGAGGATGGCTGGTTAGCCAGAGATGGGTAAGATTCTTCAAGGGAGGAACAACCTAAGAGAGGCACAGTCACCGGGGGGCCATCAGGTAAGAAATTGGGGGTCATCAGAGGTGAGGCTTAGAACCTCACACCCCCAGTTTTGAGAAAAATCTTTGCATCCATGGCTGTTTTGTTGCCCTTGTCTAGCTTGGATCAATACCTACCTAGTCTATAGGCACGGACCTGATCGCCTACACTTGCCTTTCTACTGCACTAAACTCTACTTTCAATTTTTATTTTACATCATGAGATTTAAAAAATAGATTATCTTTTATGAAAAAGTAAAGTGTGTTAAAAAGCTTTCTATTAGAAACTGTAATCTTTATTATGTCTACCTACTACTTAAACATTTTATTAAAAAAATAAGGGGGAAATGTGGGATTAATATATAAATTAAGTATAGAAATCAAGTGTATAATCTATATGACTTGATTATTTTTCCTATAATTCTTGATAAGTGATCAGGAATAGAACAAACAAGACCAAAACAGTTTCTGTGACCTAACTGCCCTTGCTATTGTTTCAACACCATGTAAGACTTCACGCCCCAGCAGACAGGAGACTGCCGAAGATTAAGTTTAGAGTTAGTTAATGGTTGTCTATTAAGTCCCCCACACAGAATTCTATTGTCGTTAACATGTATTTGCTCAATAAATACGAAGGGTGCCCTCTCAACACCACTCTTGTGCTGCTACGCCTTGAGTCCCCTGGCTGGTCCTTTCAGATCTTCGATATCTCATCACGTCTCCTCCCCTATCTGTGGGTCAGAGGCAGGGAGGGACCAACAAAAATAAAATAAAATACTGACACAAACTATTCAAACCATTATGAGAATCTCTGGATTTGTATGTAAGCTCACAATGACAAAAAAACTAACACAGATTCATGGCTGTCACTTAGCTTCACATGGTTTCAAAACTGAGTTTGTATGTGTGTATTTTTTTTAAACCTTCAGAAGCCTTTGTCACCTATCAGTTCATCATTTTTTGCATTATGTTAATCTGCTGAATCAACAGCCACCAGCTGGTATTATTTTGTTAATTAAAAGTTGAATTTTCAGTGGTATAGAGGGCATGTCAAAGTGTGGGCAAAGGGTCTGTTTGTTTCTACGCAGAAGATCAAGGCCTAGCTTGGATACCCAGAAAATGAACTAAGATACGATATGAGGAGGAGCTTCCGGCATCAGCACTCTCTGGAGGACTCGTGCCGGGGGATGATCATCAAAAAGCCTCCACAGGGATCCAGACGATGCTGCGGTTGTGGCTGCATCCAGCCCACCGTCTCCTGGACTTGCCATAAGAAGGAGGAGGGAGATGTCTAGGCTGGCATGTGCATACAGTGAGACAACGAATTTGACTGGATCTGTACTGTTGGAACTCAACCAGGAGTTGGGAGGGGTGCAAGTTGTAGCACCCCAAAATCTCATGACTATAGACTATCTATGGTTAAAAGAACATATGGGATGTGAACAGATCCCAGAAATGGGCTGCTTTAATTTGTCTGATGGTTCAAGTACAGTTGGAAAATATCCATCATATCATAGATAAATTTTCACAAATGCCTAGGGTGCCTAAATGGTTTTCTTGGCTTCACTGGAGATGGCTGGTAATTATAGATTTGCTTTGTTTATGTCACCGTATTCCTATTATGTTAATATGTGTGTGCAAATTAGTTAGTAGTTTAAAACCTATACATACTTAAGGTACTATACAAGAAGATATGTCAAAGAAATAATCAATCCTCCCAAGTTTCCTTCATATGCTACATCTATAGCTTTTCTTCTTCCTTCCTAATTACAAACCTTAAATAGAATTCGTGCCTCATATCGAATTTACCGAGTATCATAATTCCTCCAGGTGGTAAAGATACCTCGAGACAAGTGCTGGGCATAGAAGCCACAGGGCATAAATCTGCAAAGAAGTAAAAAGCTAACCTTTGCAAACAATATGGCTTCTCTCTCACTTACCAACTTTACATTTCCCTGTATGGCCCCGGAAGATGACTGGTTAGCCAGAGACGGGTAAGATTCCTCAAGGGAGGAACAACCTAAGACAGGCACAGTCGCAGGGGGGCCATCAGGTGAGAATTTGGGGATCAACAGAGGTGAGGCTCAGAACCTCACCCCCCCTGCTTTGAGAGAAATCTTCTGCATCCGTGGATGT